TAGGTGCCTAAATTCAAGATGATTTACGGCATTACGGCATGCCGAAATTTTTTATATTTTCAGCAGACTACTTAAAAATCCTGATATGCCGTAATTATTTTCAGCTGCCGAAAAAAATATACATAATCAGAAAATTTTTATCTGTTCGACACGTTGTTAATCATATGATGGGCTCTTAACACCTAATAATATGCATTATCTGGTACTAGTTAATAAAATAAATTTTATCATTTTAAAATCATTTTATAATGTTTTATCGTCTTAAAATATTTCATACAGTAATTTTATTTATCATTTAAAACTTTAGCATTATAAAATATCTTTGGCAATTTTATTTTGGCAAGCCTAAATATTTTAGGTACATATATACACTTTACGGCTGTTTTCACTAACTGAGACACCTGATTAAAAATTAGGCTCCGATTTGATAAGTTATTTTATTTTGGAATTATGCGAAATCAAAAACTTATCTAATCGAATTATCTAATTTTTTAATCTGATGTCTCAGTTAGAATAAAAACAGCTGTAACTCTCAACACACATCTCTGAAAATATTTTCGGCATATTAAAGTAACTTCTGTAGCTGAAATTATTTACGATTTTGGCAGCCTAAAATATTCTAGGCAATTTTTATTTACAGCAAGCCAAAAATAATTTAGACACCCATGTACACTTTGAACTAATGTATTTACGTCAGTTATCTCATTTCACAGAAAATAAAAATTAGCTAGCACTAACCCTCACCCTAACATAATTTGAGCTAATATGAAGTGTCGTCAACTAAAAGGGCCCATTTTTATATTTTTTTAAAAAAATGAGTTTTTATTAGATTCATGTATATTTTGATATGATTGACATTTTTTAATTATAAATGAAAGTCGATTTGCATAATGAAAAATAGAGATAATGTAGAAGAAAATTATACGAGGCCAAGCACATCACGAGAGCATAGTTAAAAATCGATATAATTGGCTGATGATCATCATTTTTTTACTAGTTTTTTATTGGCTGATTATAAGTAAGCAATTTTGATTGGCTATTGTCTTCAATATTGTATATCAATAAAATTCTCTCTTCTTGAAAAAAGTTTTTGAAAATAGTAAAAAGTAAATTATTATATATTTTTAGAATTATCAATTCTATTTTTAACAATTTACTTTAAAGTAATATTTATTTTTTTTTTTTTTGTATTAAAGATAAGGTCATATCTCTATCTTTATTAATAATTTAATTGAGATTTTGTGAGGAGTTTCTCAGCATAAAGGATTAGCTTTATACATTTTAAATTACATGACAAGAATTGAAACTCAGATTATAGTATGTTAATAAGATACTAACTAAACTAATTTATCTATAACCTAAATCTACTAGAGTGGTTATGACTTATCTAGATTTGAGTAAATAATATATTGTTAGTAGATATACTATATTTAATCCATTATATTATCTATAAATATGTTTTGCTAATAGCAATTTGTTTAGTTGTTTGAGTATTATTATTGTTTTGTCTATTTGAAATGTAATTTGAAGTAGAAGAGTTTAGAGTTTGTTACTGTATTTGAGTATTGTTTGAGTTAGAGTTAGAGTATAAAATATTAATGTTTTGTAACTTTTTCTATTGAGTGAATTTATCATAGTATGATATCCAAATTGACTTGTAAATAGTATCAAATAGCATATGAAAAAATTTAGTTATTAGTTGTGTTGCTGATTTATATAAGTTAGTGAATAGTTGTAGTAAAGTAGCTAGATCACTTGGTATAAATCCTTGTAATGTAATGTGAATTGATATAGAACTAGAGAATAGTTGAAGAAAGTTGAGAGAGTAGTGATTAATAAGCTGTTAGTGTAGAGTTTGTAATTCCTGAAGAAATATTTCAAGTTTTGATAATGTGAAAAACTCTTTAACAGAGTTTAGTATGATATTAAAAATTAATAAATTGTTGTTGCAGAAAATCCAGTGTTGATATTCATCAATAGAGTTGCAGTTAAAGTATTGGTTAGTTGAAAATATATTAGAGTAGATTAATTGGAGGCGAGAGATTGTTGGAAGATCATTAATCATGTTTTTAACTCTAAAAGATTTAGTTTTGTTAAGAGAGAAGTTGGAATAGTTTGAGAATAGAGGTATGTTATTATTAAGAAGAAGCTATATTAATAGCTAGTCAATTTGTACAGAGTATTGTATTCAAGTAGAAGTATTTAGAAAGCCTTTAAACAGATTTTTGGAAGTATTTTATCAAGTTTTGGTCCATTTTTGATAAAATTTATACTAAAATAAAGCTCTGATATAAGAAAATCTAACTCTTTTAATAGTCAAAAGTTATTATATTAGTAAAATTTTGAGATATTTAATAGAAATGAAGTAAAATGGAAATATAAAGTATCTCTTTAAATTTTGATCTAAGAGATATAAATCTAAGCTACTTTAAAGTAAAATTCTGTGCTGAGCAATTTTACTTAAGGGCCTAGAGGCAGTTTACTTAATAAAATTTTGTAATAATTTAGAAAAACTAGAAAAATAAAGAGTATTTAATAACTTCACAAATACAGGTCAGAAATAATAAAACTAGGTTGTTATGAACAACTTTACTTAGTGGCCAAAAAGTGGTTTACTTAATAAAATTTTGAGAAATAATTAAATGTTTGCAAGAAGTTTTGGTACAAGTAATCTACAGAAAGAGTTACAGGCAATATGAACTATTTAAATATGTATTATCTAAAAAAATTATTACTTAACTTTTAATAAAACTTAATAACAATATAGCATTAAATTTGTTAAGCAAAATCTAATATCTAACTTATTAGATTCAGTAATTCTGAAATAAAGAATAATGCTAATTCAAGATAAACATAAAAGAATATTGTTTTTATACAATAAATTCATGATTGACAATCTAGTTAGTACAGAAGATCAAGCTGTTAAACAATGTATTAAAACTTTATAACAGTTTGTTGACACATGTATTAGTGTATTTAATCACTCAGATTTTATGCAATATAATTTTTTTCAATGTGCACAAAAAATAAAACTAGATAGTTATATACAAATATTTAATTTTTATAAAAATAGTCTTATTTAGTTATATAATATTTTGCATAAAGATATCTATAAAACTAAAGAAAAGGTTACAAAAGAAAGGTAGATTAAGGAGTTAGTTAGTGTCTCAGCTAAACAATATCTACTATCTATAAAAGATGATTAAAAAGAATGTACAGTAGGCTCCAAAAGTATATGACGGTTACATGATAAAATTATAACAAAATTTTTCAAGTTATTGATAATGACGGTTATGGTTGTAGATACTGATATTTAATATATATCGATATCGATATATACTGTATACTCATTATGCATTAATATTAATATTATATTAATTTGCGCAATATAACTTATTAATATCGTTGATTTACATAAAATTTTATGATTTTTTATTATGATTTTTTTGCATAAAATTTTGTTATGATTTATTGTGTAACCGTCATATACTTTTGGAGCCTACTGTATATTTAGTAAATTTTAAATAAAGGAAATGAAATATATAAAAAAATATTAAAATAAATTACATAACCCATATAACTTTTATAGTAATAAGCAGAGATGTGCCTCTTGTGCAAAATGCTGATGTCATAATAAATTATTTATATTATCTCGTGTGAGAATCAATTGAATGAAATCAGCATTTCGCGAGAGAAGCATATCTCTAGTAATAAGTTTATGCCTACCAGATCTTAATAATTCTTGCCTTGATCGAATATCTTGAATTTCTCTTTCCCGATTCCGAGTTGATTAAACTTCTAATGCCTAATAATAATATAAAATCTCAAATTCACTCTAACTCAAAAATTTTATTAATGAAAGCTACTTAATACCTCTAAGTAACCATACAGTTTGTCATTTATGCAGCTTATGAGTTAACGAGATCTGGTATAACTTATCTTCTTGAAAAGAATGCAGGCGATAAAGGTGAAATTATGCTTTTTTTTAACTTATAATACCTAAAAAAAATAAGATAAAAATAAAAAACAAAGTCATAAATATATGCTACAAAGAAAATCGAGTTTGTTAAGGCGTAATGATCGAGTTTCTAGTAAGGTTCACAGTTTTACTTGCAACGAACGAAAAGGAAACGTCGGATTTTTGTGTGACGTTCTATGTAAAATCGATCGTCGTGACTATTCCCTGACTGCTATATGAAAATGCACTCGATCATATGAAAAATCATTAACGAATCTGATTATTAGATTAAATTTGCCAGAAGCAAGTGATACTAACGAAGAATATTTCTTTAAAGTTTCGTCAACTGTTAATTAGGTAAATATATTATTTGCTACTTAAAAGTAATAAATTTACCTAATTAACAGTTGACGAAACTTTAAAGAAATATTCTTCGTTAGTATTACTTGCTTCTGACAAATTTAATCTGATATAATCAGATTTTTCTAGGAATGTTAAGTGGTCCGAAAGGAACTAGTTCGGCGCTGGTCCTGAATCAGGACCACTAAGAACCGGTCCGAACTAGTTAAAAATCACTTGATATAAATGGGTGTCATCTTTGACACATTAAATAAAATTTAATTAAAAATAAATCAAGAAAAATATTTTTATTAGCAGTAATTTTACAGATATCTCATCACTAATCGGGTGATTAATAGAACTCCGATTGGTGAATTTTAAATAAAATTGGTAACTAATCGGTTGGTCTAAACGTAATAATTCATCAATTATCTGTAATGTAATAATTAGTATTGCTGTATTGAACTAGTTCCTAACTAGTTCAGGACCAGGACGAACTGGGACCAGCTTAACATCCCTAGATTTTTCATATGATCGAGTGCATTTTCATATAGAACGTTTACTATAATCAGGCAATCATATTTTAAGGATCGACAACCAATCAGATGGATACTTGGTATGCAAATGTACAAATATTCATATATAAATATATAAATGTACGTGATTGTTTTGTTGATCTAAAAAAACTCTACCTTCTAAAAAAATGACTAACGAAAATAAAATTACTATGACTGTCAAAGGTGATGTTGGTGTAAAACGCAAAAGTAGGTGTTGACAAGTTTCTGAGATTGTAAATAAACTACTTCGTTACTTATTATATACAACAATTAATGGCAACAGAATACGTCAACAGAGAGGTTGCCGAAGATATGCTTGGAGGTACTTTTTCGTACATCAATGGTAAAACTTATATTATTACGATTGATAATAACACAAAAATGAGAATCTCAAGCTTGAACACGGACATCGCAAGAGTTTATTTCTTTAATAATAACAACGTCCAAGTGCCAGTTCCAAATGGGATGGTTATGCATGATGATGTTAATAATTATAATTTACGTCATTTTCGAGGTGAATACCATATTTCCTGGATATATAGTTACACATTATTTTGGAATGGTAATGTAGTTGTCCGTCTTTATAATCAAAAGCAACAAGCAGTTGATAGAGGTGTTGGGTTTGAAGATTATGAGGTAGAATAATTATATTTTTATAATAGGTGAGACTTGATCTCATTTGTTTGTATTGTTTCTGCGCTGTTGTTAAACTTTTATGAATAAGTGTTATTACAAATAAATATAAAAAACTTGAACTATTGCTTCTATTATAAAATAAAATTTACTCGAAGCTATTATGAAATAATGAAGCTTTCATTTTCCATTTCTCAGAGAATTATTGCATTCACATCGCTTATATATTCCATCTGATACTTTTTTTTACATGTCTTACAATGTAGGTGTGAATGATTGCATTCGTCAAAAACCTTACATCGATGCTTCCAACCTCAAAAATATGACACTTTTCGATATAATTTCGACTTTTTTTATTTATAAATGTATTTTTTTGTTATATTAATAATAAAAAAAATAAGGACGGCCGGATCAGTAAGGCGGGGTATGTAAATATATATATATATATATATTGAGTCTTTGCAGTAGAAAGGACGGAAACTACCCTGGAAATGAATTTTGAGTTTTTACTAAATTTAGATTAATATTGGTACGGGCTACCGCTACATTTTTCGATTATAATGAGAAATCGATTAGCATAATACAAAATCGAGATAATGCGAAAAGTTACATGAAATAATCGTCGAGGTCTTCGAACATCACGAGATCACCCGGTACCTTCAACCTCCAGGAGCGACTGTTCTCATTACACCAATTACGAAAATCTTCGAAGAGGCGATAACCAATCAAAATCGTGAATTTTCGAAATATTGTCAGAGGAAAAACCGATCAACGCCAACTAACCAAAAACACAGCAACAACGATACCCGAAACGATTATAGAGGCAGATTCGATTTGGCAAGGTAAGACTTGTTTCAGGTACATTGCACGGGATAGCACTGAACTCTGATTAAACTAAACTTAGAGTAACAATGATTCTTTCTTTATTATCACTACTGCTTTTTATTAAAGGTAAATACAAGACTTTTTATACAAGAGAAATACAGTTGGGGCTTTTACTCAATATTACTAAATTGAGTATCAGAGAGGAGGGGGAATCTGCAAATTACAATAACTAAACTTCTATTATCTAAATCTAGAGGCTTCATGAGATTTTTAACTGAGCTTCACCTTAAGCTAAACCCAAAATAGTATTTGATTAATATTTCTCTCATATGCTGATTAGAGGCTTTGGGTTTGAGGTTTAGCTTGGTTTGGTTATGATTTGTTACATTTTTCATATGCTTTTACTAGGTTATGTTTTGTTTTTAACAATTCTTTTAAATTTATTTTATATGTTTTACATAAAGTTTTTTTTTTATTAGGTCTAACAAGTTAAAGCAAGAATTATATTTGTGTAATTTCTTATGAGATTTTATAAATAATCATAAGCTCTAAACATATACTAATAAGTTAACAATATTTTATGAATATGGGTTTAGAACATTATATATTCTGTATTCTATTATTGCTTTCTAAGCTTGTTGTTGTTACAGATAGTATAATTTAAGCTTTCTTGTATACTAATAATAACAGAGATATATCTATCTAGAGACTTTAAGAAGTGGTATTAAAAAGGAAGGTATAATTCTTGTTTTATTAAAGAATTATATTCATTTTTAAAGAGTAGCAATATATTTATAATTTATTATTAATAATATATTTATTAAAGATAGATATGTTTAAAGTAAAATACATAAGTAGTTATATTTTATAACTATAGAAAAGGAATTTAGGCTCTATCTATTATTAGAGAAGAAGATTTGGAAATATCTAACTAATTAACTAATTGATTTTTAAACTTGAGAAGAAAACTATTTGTATTTATATTTTTTAGTAAAGTTTTATAGAAGAGTTACCAAAAGTTCATCTAGGCATTATCTAGATATTCATACAAGTATCATTTAGGTATCATATAAATGATACTATAAATAAATTAGCACTATAAGTAGCACTGCATTTAGCATAGTAATTATCATATTATATTAGCTGTCATTTAAGTTTTCTCTGTATTTTTTTTTACTTTATACAAATACTATTGGCTAAACTTTATTAATTTCATATATTCCAGAAGTGATACATATTATGAGAGTACAACTAGCTACATATACAATTTTAAGTTATCTATTTTAAGTAGTCTGCTCGAAGGTTCTACACTAGCTACCATACCTGAAATCTCTTAGAAGATTCCCTATTTAAACTCTCTGGCCCTACTTCACTTGTCACAAATATTACTTTTTATAGTTAACCATAAACCCTATGCTACTCCACTTTAGGAGGCACCCAAGCTGACATTAGTCATAAACTTTATTGTTATAGGCCTAGGTCTTACCTGTATAAGTTCAACTTCAATGTCCCCTAACAAATAGGTATTATGAACTCAACTATGCTATACTATATCCCAATCTAGCTTGCATATACCCTTATTTGATGTTTGTACAAACCCAGTTCTAGCTGTGGCCTTCTACCAGTTTAGACTTCCAAATGTTTCACAAGGTAGATCCTCTCAATCTAGTTAGCTGCCAAGCCAAGTTGGTGTAGCTGCTAAATGCAAGGCACCAGGCTGCATTACACTATGGACTTACTCGTACCTACTCGATTCGTACTCAGAAATCTTTGTCAGATCAAGCGTTAACTAGTGTGACTGTTGAAATCTGTACTACTTCACCTAACTCAGGATTTCTACTATGCAGATCCTCTGCCCATAGATCCTATCTCAATTTATTCGTGTAATGCAACTCAAATATTCTGTCATACTTCCAATATCTAAACAATATTAGTGCAATGTGATTTACAGGGTTATAACCCCAGAAACGAACAGAGTTTACTGTAAGTTGAGTATAGTGTTGACCTATAAAACATTAAGGAAAAACACAAAATCCTTAATAACTTTCGATCCACCGGTCCGAATTGGATGAAAC